ACCTTAGTTAAGTTATGTCAACCTAACGTGTAGTGTGTTGATTAATTGGCAGCTAAATCCCAACGGAGACATCCCAGATCCCCACCAAGGCAGCTAGCAGAGCTCATTGTTTTCGTAAGTGATTTAATAAGGATTTTTCAAGTACGAGAAATATATTTAATGGCCATAAGTTTAAATAATTAACAGGTGGATTATTTTTCTGAAATAAATTTACTATGAGTTTATCAAATTTTTCATGTAAAACATAGTTGATAAACTATTAGTCTTAACATAAGGAAATCAGTTAACAGTTGTTTTTGACACTCATGGTCATATGTGAGTGAAAATTCTAACTTTCCATTAATCTTGGTTCGGGAAGAATCTCGATTAGCACTCCATGTTGATCGTCGAAGTTCATTAAAGTCTGAACGGTGTCTACTTCTAACTTCCCTGATTATTTTCTTCGAAACCTTTAAGGATATTCGATGTGGTTTCATAAAACCTTAAAATCCAAAAGTTGGAATAAAGAAATCTGCCATTTTTCTGTGCTTGGTTATTAGGAAAAAGGTATACTCTTTCACGTCAAATGTCAAGTTATTATTTGTAAAAAGAGATTGTATTAAAATGAAAAATAAATTATAAGTACAAAGAGCCTGAAAGAGCGAACTAGTACTCTTGAGAATGCTTTGGGTTGTTCCATGATTTTCTAAATGTCGAGACAAGAAGAGAAGTCCGGAAGAGCTCTAAATGCAGTTTATCTGGCCGAAACAAATGAAGGTACTTCAATGAAAACGGACCTGATACAGTTCAATAGCTTGTCGATGCACGAGACGATCTTCATGGTTAATTGCAAGGAATTGGGAGCTCAAATTAGAAAAACAGGGAAAAAAGTACTTGTGACTTTACATGGATCTCCTGCTCAAGTCTTAACTGTGACTGAAAATTTGGAGAAGGTTCTAGGGAGCAATCCAAGTTAAGGCCACGTTTGACTTGCAGATGGATTAGAGGGATGGATATTGGACCATTACCAAAAGAAAAAGGTGAAATTTAAGGGTGTGCAAAACCAAACCAATTAACCAAATTAAATCAAATTAAACTAAATTTTAAATTTAGGTTTGGTTTTTTTTAAATTTAGTTTAGTTTAGTTTGGTTTAGAAAAATAATCTAAAATTATGGTTTGGTTTGGTTTAAAACCAAACCAAACCATTTTAAACCAAAAATCAAAATTTTGAAAATTCATTATAAAAAATATTAATATATACACACCTACATACATTTATATAAATATATATTTATATATCTATATATACATATATACATGTATATATATACATATATATACTTATATGTGTATGTACTCACACAAACATACATACATACATAAAAATTTTGTATACCCATACAAATATAAATATATGTACATGTACATATATTTGTATTGTATATAAATATATAAATACACACATATGTATATATACATACATAAATATATAAAAATATATATTTACATATTTACGCATATACGATTCAGTTCATTCACGATCCGGTTCATTCGCGGTTCATTCACGATTCGTATGCGGTTTTGGTCCATGGTTCATTTACGATTCCGGTTCACGGTTCATTTCCGGTTCTGGTTCCGGTTCAAAAAAACCTGAATTGTAACAGGACCGCGAACCTTCACAGTTCAGAATCGGATCGAACCAGATATTGCCGGTCCGGTTTGGTCCGATTTTTTCCAGTTTGGACCGGAACTGTGAATAGGACTATGTGTACATGTATACATATATATTTTTATATTTACATGAATATATATATACACATGAATATATACATATATATGTTATGTATGTGTGTGTATATATATATATATGTATATATGTATATACAAATATATATATATACATGTACATACAAATCATATACATGTAAATTTAATAATAAAAAATTAATTAAATAATTTATTTAAATATTTTTAATTAATAAAAATTAAATTTAAAACCAAATCAAACCAAACCAAACCGAACCAAAATTTTAGGTTTGGTTTGATTTTGGTTTATAATTAAATTGGTTTGGTTTGGTTTGGTTTTAAAAGTATTAAAACCAAAAAATCAAAAAACCAAACTAAAATATCAAAAACTAAACTAAAATTATAGTTTACACACCCCTAGTGAAATCTATGTGACTATTCCATCCGTCTCTCAGAGATATTCAAGGAACCCAAAAATCCCAACAATTACTTGTCACTACCGAATAGATATTGCAAAATTCTCGGAGTTTCTCTTCTTTTGTGAAGAAACTAATTTTTTTTTTTTTATGTTTATGGGATAGATAAATCCATAAATTTTAAAGTTCCTATCATTTAGTTATGGCAACCACTTGAAATTTGAGTTGATAAGATAATGTTGTGTTTATACAACTGTTTGACAATTATTCTAATAATTTGGTTTTATACGAGAGGAGTAAATGCGTCTTCAACTTCAATGGTTCATTGCCTTTCTCATGCTTTTAGTCACCGGATGACGCAATCCCCCCAGAGGATGGGACGGTCCAATCCCTGATTTGGGAGATTATAAAGCTGCCTTCTCATTAATAAACCAAACAGTGCATTATTATAGTGAATACTTATTACTTATCCAATGCGGAGGCACTTTCTAGAAAACAAACAGCCTCAAAAACAAATCCGGGGACATCTTGTCCAACCATGTATCGTGCCAAACAAAGAATAAGTAGTCGATCCACGAAAGTATTTTCCCTTCTCCATAATATCATATCACAAAAGCACTCGGCCAGGGCTAGAACCTAACAACATCAGTTAACCATCTAGACAGAAGGCGGAGGGGAGGGAAGAGGAGGAGAGAGAGAGAGAGAGAGAGAGAGAGAGAGAGAATGTGGAAGGTGTTTGTGTGCAAGGAAGAAAGAGAGGTGGGGAGAAAGAAAGCGCCAGGGAAGTGCCATACTGTGAGGGGATAGTGGAGGCAGTGGACGTGGCGAGACATTGGAAGCTGCTTTGCTTTTTTCCACTCTGCTCCTGCTTCAAGAGGAGGTTTATATGCTCTTCCTGTGCCAAATCTCTGGTCTTGTTATTCCCATTCGAACCTGCTCTGGTTTAGTCCAACTCTATGACCATGTACGTTTCTCTCATGTGTGTTCTGTGGGATGACGAATGACATGATTTACATTTTATCTTATCAGTGTAATTTTGGACTTCGTTAGTATACGTAGCTAGCTTCCTTTTGATTTGAAGAGTTCGCCAACGTTTTACATGCTTGAATTTTTTTTACCCAAAAAAATGAAAATGAAAAATGAAACCAGGAGTCTTATCAAAAAAAAAAAAAAAAAAAAATTTGGAAGTAAGGGTGGGGTGCTCTGCGAGCCCACCGGAATCCCAGGTTTGGCACATGATCTGCTCTTGAGATTTCTGTCATGGTCATGGAATATTTTTTCTTTTCTTTTTTTTTTTTGGGGGTGGGGGGGTGGGGGGAGGTGGTTGGTAAAAAAGAGACTTAAGCCAGGAGGAGTGGCGGGATTGAAGCCTAAACTCACATTGCACTTGACAAGTTCTCTAAAATATCTTGTCTTTCTCTGCGGGAAAAGGGAGGATGGTCAGATGATAAATGAATGGGATTATTTTCCATTAATCTGCTGTTGTTCGTGCTGCTTATACGTGTTTGATTTCGTCCAGAAATTCTAATATTTGAATTTTTAATTTTTAGTTTTTCTTACCCTTTTTTCAAAATTTGATTTTATTAGCTTTCAGTGGCTGTTTTAGGGGTTTTTTTTAAAAAAAAAATTCTTGTTTTTCTTTAAATATCTAAATGATGCACGTGATAAGAAAAATGAAAGTACTTATTTTTTATTCTTTTAAATTTGCATATGAAACTCTTTTGGAGTAGCCAAATAAAAAAAAGTTATTTTTTAAATAAACTAAATATTATTGTAAATTTAGAAATTTTTTGTGAACAAAAAAAGTTAGAAACTCAAATATTGAGGCCACGACCAAACATAATACGTAGCTAATAGCAGATTCAATCCTCCAGCTACCGTAGAATTCATTTGGAAAATTTGATTAAATATAAAGAATTAAAAATTAACATTGTGGTTAGTAGTAGGTTCACCTTCACAAATTCTAAGGAAAATGCATCTCTAACGAGTGCCGCTCAAAATAAGTACAATTGTTTTGTCTTTACATCTCAGCATTTAACTATGGAATATAAATCAACAAAGCTTGCATGCACATGTATTTGCACATACTCCCACCTCTTTACTATACAAAATGTTGACCCATTAGAGTAGTATAAGAAAAATAAATTAATTAGTTTAAAGAGTATAGCTGTCCCGAATGAGAAGAGAACTAGTGATACGACAAGCGAAAACATAAAGAATTATAATTTTGAGCAGTTGGGTTGTCCTGCCAACCCCTACCCATGTTACGTTGGATTCCCCTTACCCCTTCCTTCTAAGGATTTCACTCTTCTGTATCACCGAAAATAAATAAATATAATTTTTATTTTCATGTTAAAACTGGAAACAAGAAAAGAAAAATGTTTTCCACTCTTTAGAACTGTAAATTAAACCTAATTGTACTTCTGCTAGTTTTCTTTTATATCTTTTACGTTGGAAAACGTTTTAGTGAACAGCGAGTCATGCTATGCTGCAATTGCAAGTATTTTATTGTCTCTATTTTTGTTCAAAGGATATTGTTGTAAGGGTAATATATACGAGAAAAAAGATGTTCAATAATAGTTAAACGGGTAATGGAATAAATGAGAACTAATAACGTTCAGAACAGAGAGAGAGAGAGAGAAACAAAAGACTATGCATTTAGAGGAAAGGAGTATACGAAGAAATGCAGTCATAGTCCTCCCTCAACTGAAGCTTCCTACTTCTCCTAGAAGCCAATTTTGTAATAAGACTATACTTTGTAGTTTTCTCGACTTCAGCCTCTATAAAAGACAGTGCCCATAATTCGATTCACCCAACCGCCCACACAGACAAGCAGAATGTGTATGTTGTATGTGTTAATGGAGAAGAAAAGAGAGATAGGAAGGAAGCAAGCTCCTGGACAGTGCCCATGCTGCGGAGGAAAAGTTGAGGCTCTGGATGTGGAGAGCAGGTGGACATTTTGCTTTCTCCCCATTTGCTTCCTCATCAAGAGGAAGTACTTTTGTTCTCTCTGCGCCAAGCGACTTGTGCTCTTGTATCACAAATGATCAGACTTAATAATGCGACTAGCATTTTGCCTGAACTGGGATTTGGGTGTTGATGGAAATTCCATTCATTCAATGGCACTGTACTGCTAGTAGGGTTGTAATCATTTTCTTGTTATACGAGTCTATGACTAATAAAGCATTGAAGAGTTCTGACCTCTTCTTATACGCCCCTCGGACCCTTCCGCAACTTGTATAAGTTGCTTTGACATTGTATTAAGTGTTCTTTCGTGGGAGAGTTAAATAATTTTTGAACATATTTTATTTAAATATAAATATAAATTTACACCGTAACAAGGGTGTTATTTATTTAATTGAGAGTGACTATAATATATTATCCCTCGTTTATTTTGAAGATAATATGTTATAGTATATAAAATATTAAATGTTACAATTATAAAAAAAAATATTAAAGATTACTATTAAATAACTTATGTTTAAATATTTTGAATTAATAGTTAAGACTTAACAAATTATTAGAGTCAATAATTCTTTGATGGTTACAGATTATAACTAAAAACCTGATATTTTTTTACTTGATTTTTAGACTCTTTTATTCTTTGATTCAATAGAAAGAAAACTTAAAATTCAAAAAATATATATATATATAATATGATTATAATTTTTTTTCAACATGCAATAAGATATATTATAAACATACCTGTTATTTTTTTGTACATTTTTATACCATTTTTTTTTAGAAACTCAAACAAAGAAAGTTATTTTTATAACTAAACATCAAAAATTGAAAATTTTACTTCCACAAAAATAAAGCGAGCCAAACAAATTTTGTAACCAAACGATCTCGTGTCAGGTTAGCTAGTGCCTAACATATCTGCATTAGTGAGAAAAGTACAGTTTAGATAAGTTAGTGGTACCTAAGATAAGAAATCTGCATGTGAAACAGAAGGTTTGGTAGTATTTAAGGACGAAGATTCTAGTCCTAAACTTAACGTATCAATTAACATTAACTGAAACGGCTGTATCGTTGTACATGTCCTAACAATGAACTTCACTTCAATCATTTTCGTATAGTAATTTAGAATCTCCCATTAAGTTAATTACTTTTTTGTTATTTTATGTTTACAGCGTCGCAGTTGTCTTTATTCAGCTTATTACCTTCATATTAAATTTGTTAAAAAGGAAAATTAGAAATAAGGTTTACCTGTAAGTTTGTCTTTTCAATTCATGAAAGAAAAGTTCTCTCCTGCAAAGTTTTGTGAAGAAAAAGTATTACCCACATTAAACTTTGGGGAAAAAAATTATTTCTTAACCCTCTATTATTAGAAATTTGTAGATTTTGCTCAAAATTAAGGTTAAAATGTAAATTTACCCTTAACTAAATTTTACAGAGAAAATAGTTTGTCGTCGGTTAAAATGTGCAAGAATTTTCATTTTTGTGGTCCGTTGGCCGATTAAGATCTCTTGTGCATTAATTTTATTTTATCTTCAGCTAAAGGTAATTAAACTTCAAATATTAAGCATGACATTGGGTTAAGGGAATAGATAAGAAATTGAGATATTAGGATTGTGTCAACTTTTTTGTAAAAATTAAATTAAAAGTATTATTGTGCAGTTTAAAAGTTTTTTATTTATTATAATAAAATAAATTATGCTACATAAATAGGGAAAGCCTTATTCTACAGGAACAGGAAGCATACAAGCGCGGTGACAGCGGCGTGGTAGGTACAGGCCTCTATTTTATTTCTAGCAATCTCACAGCACCATTTCATTGTTGGCAACTTTGAAATCGTAGTTAGAGATAGAAGGGAGATAAGAAAGTGACGTAAAATTTATATATGGGGTATAATTAATTTATATTTATAGAAGATAATAATTATATTATTAAAATATTGAGCATTCTCTATCTCTCAATAAATATATATGTTACAAGTATATTTATAAATACTTGAAAGATTAAAATAAATTATATATTTATAATTATCCTAATATCTAATTTTAGACCCAAACTTATCTCTAATTAGAGAAATAGTATATTTTAAAAATATTCCTTAATATTCAAGTCATCCAATGTAGTGTAAGTCTAACATTACCTCTCCATTTAAATATTAAATGATAATTGTGTAATTACGAAGATACAAAACTTTAAGGTTTTCTCGGGTTATAACCCTTCATTCAGCGTGTTGGAAGGGGGAGGCGGGGTGATTAAGTACAATGTTGTCTGAATTGTAAAGGCCGGCGGTTGAAGGTTCACCATCCGCCTGTAGTGCCCAAGTACATACACATGGTCTCCTTACTGCGACATGGCCTCCAGGAAAGAATCGTTTTTGGCTTCGCAGGGATCCAAGAGAGCCATGCGTTGCTCCAGCAAAGGAAAGTGTTCCACACATAATGATAAAATGATTTCCAATTAGTTCTAGTAATTTTACCTGTCATGATATTAAGTATAAAAAATTGTAATATTTTATTATCAATGTAAAATAATATTATATATAAAATTTTAGAATTAGTATTGAATTATTTAAATTTAAATATTTTAATTTAGTAATTCAAATTAAATAAATTGTTAGTGCAAACGACTGTTATGTTATTATAAATTGGTTCATTTAATTATATTATAAATTGGTTCATTTAATTATCATGTTGGATGACAAAATCAAAAAATTCTTTTCGTTAAAAGAATAAATAAAGAATTCTTTACAAATTGTAAGGTCCTTAATCGTAGAAATACTTATCATATAACTTCTTCCTTTTTTTAAAAAGAAAAATAACAATTAGATCTAATTTAAGGGAATGGGGTGGGATGGGAATTGAACTCTCTACCTCAACAAATAATCATTTAATTTCTATCCCCCACAAAAGATTGGCAAGATTAGTCTATGATTAATTTTAACTAGTTATTTATTTAATAGTTTTGGTAATTTAATAAATTGTTTCAAAAATATCTAATTTTCCATGTCCTTAGCTTATTTTCCTTTTTTTTTTTCTTTTTCTTTGGGTCCGCATTAGCTTGGTAGGGAGACATGACCCACGAAGGCTGGCACTTGCAGGAGGCTGTGTAGCTAACAAATATTGCTTGAGAAAAAGGGAAAAAAAATCTCAAAAACTCGGTGGCAGAAAATTGAATTTTGGTTAATTTCAATAAACTATGCATACAATCTCTAAATTCATTACGAATTTCTTCTGAGCACTTGACAGCTTGTTCTTGAATTAAACAATATTATCTTCTCCAACACATGCGAGGAAGACGAACGTGATGGAGGACTTCTTAAAATTACAACTGGAGAACTTCAACATTTGATTGCCTGCCTTTGAGTTTCTGCAAACTTGGATCCAAAATATATCTTTTTCACAGTTGGCGAGTGATCAAGAGGGTAAAGTTCTTTCCAGAAGAGTTTTTCAAACTCATTTCTTCCTCTAACAGCCCGCCGAAACCCGTCACCTTTTCCTCCTCCATTGGCGGTTTTTAGGAATTAACGAAAACTTAAATATACATGTATACATTTTGTATTTATATATACGTATGTATATTGTGTGTACGTGTATCATTGGGTTCATTATGCTGGGGATCTGTCATGGACCCAGAAAATTATGTAAAAATCAGACGGGAGTAGGGTTTATTTGAGGTCATGTCCAGCATCTGTAATTTTTTTTTCCCCTGAAGATTTGGTTGGAACGTGTGATGGGATTACCAGATTTGGATCGAGTGTGTCAAAATTAAGAGTTATTCGTGTTTTCACTTTCAAGTTTGATTTCTATATGCTTCTATTGAACAGAGATATTTCATCTGGGTTCTAGGGATCGTTGACGGTGGTGTTCCGGCAGTGTAAGGTCGAGAGGCCACGGGTACAGCGGAAAGCAGACGAAAAGAAAATTACAAACAAGACAAAAGAACTTTTATATAATGTCATCCAAACAGTTCAAAAATATAAAATAATTTTTACTTTTTAAAAAAATTACTTCTGAAAAAGCACTTAAAAAAAAAAGTTCATTCAAACTGGCCTTATTCTCTTTTCAGTCCGGCGGAAAAATCCCTACTTGGAGAAGCGGATAGATAAGAGCCATTACTCGAGTTGATCACTTCGTAATTATTTCTTATTTATTTATTTATTTATTTAAATAATATCTAAAAAATGACTGTTTATTACATCCATTTAATTTGAGGAAAAAGTACCTATACACTTCTAAATGAGCCACATTTTATTCGTTCACGTGTATACATTTTAATTTAATATTAATTAGACAAATGGCGATGTACGATTAGCTAAAATTTGTATTAATTTAAAATTTTTTTAACTTGTGGCACCACTTAATTCGCCCTCCGTGCGTGTATCAATTTAATTTGGGACGTATGAAAATAATATCAATAACCAAAATATTATCATTTTTCACAATACTTTTGACGTGTCATTTTTTAATAGGCCAAACAAGGAGCCCCAATACGAAGGTTCACAAACCTCCCCCGTGTCGAGAGGCCGGAAGCCACAAGACGAGACACTGAAGTTGAGGAAGCCAACCATCCTGAACGGGACAAACACAGAACTGAGGCCCAAATATTGCGACCTCCCTCTCGGTACGTACAGAACATAAGCCATCCAGAGACAAGCCTCACTTAGCCCATGAGTCTGCTGCAGTTTCAGCTTTATTTTTCTATATCATTTCATCTTCACTCTCACTTTCACGCGAAAACCATTTCCTTGGAATCTCAAAACAACCTTTTGCCCAATAATAGAAAAATATTTTCAAAAAACAACTGCAGAGTCCAGACTGGTTATCTATTCTCCCTCTCTCTCTCTCACGCGCGCGCGCGCGCCTGCATCATGAATGTGATTGTCCTCTCCATTGAGGATAAGACCTTCTCCTAGTCGTTTCCTGTCATGAAATTGTCTCTGGGAGTGAGCCACACAAGTCATAAATCTGATTTCTCATGAGACAAGACAGTTCAGCGTTTCACAACTCTCGTTGGAATAGGAGTTCAAGTTGATGGTTTATCCTAAAAGAAATAAGAAAAGAAAAGAAAAGTAGATTTAAGGGTATGCGGAAAAAAGACTGTCAAATTTACAATGAAGAAAGGGCAAAAAGCATTAGCATTATCGGGTCGTTAGAGTAGAAAATCAACTTCTCTCAGAACAGGGGGAAATAGAAAGGATGGTTTGAAAAACAACAGAAAACAGAAATAGTGAAACACGAAAAACACCCAAGTTAAAAATATACAAATTCGCACTCCCTTCTAATTTACAACGAAAAAGCACTAAGAAAAACGGGGCCAAAAAAGCCTATAAATTATAAACGTTTATTCAGAATTAATGTTGGGTGGGTCAGTCGAGAGAAGAATCAACTTTATTGACCGTTCTGGAGAAGGCAAGGACGTCGTCTGGGTCTCTTGCTGCGCCCTCATGGTTCTCTTTCTCAGTTCCGTCTCCGTTTCCCGTGATGAGCGATTCTCGGATCACCTCCCTAGCCTTGGCCGTCGGATCACCGGCGTCGTTCGGCCTCGAACTTCTGCGCGCTCTGTTTCTTCGTCCCTGCCCTGTCTTCTCTCTCCAGCTGCTCTTGTCTCTCTTTATGCGCCTCCATACACGCCTCTCTCTCTCTCTTCTCTCTCTCTCTCTCTCTCTGTAACTGTATGCATGTATGACTCATATTATACCTTGTAAATAAATCTTGAACTTTTGGATAACAATTAATGACAGATACACGTGTCAGGGAACTGTATGAGTCGCATGATTTTAGTGACGGGAATCAAACCGCATGATTACACGTAGCCCTGTGAGGAGCCACATTTGCTCAGCAAGATTCACACGCCCAAACAAGATTGTTACGTCTGTTAAGCAACTGTCGGCTTTTTGAAAGCCATGCCCATCTTGAAAGAGTTGTTTTGGGGGGGATGGCGGTGTGGCGGGGGTCCTTTTTGTTGTTGGATTAAAAAAAAATAGAAAGATACACTGATAGTTCTGAATTGCGGTGTGTATATTTATGAAAAAGAAGAAAGAATTTTTTGCTATCAGTTACTTGCATAAACAATAGTTTGGCTTTTGTGGCCAATTCCATGGCATGCCCACTCTTTTAGTGTCAAAGAAGGGCCTCTGGAAGCAAAAACTCAAAACAAAAGAAAAGGCTAAAAGCACTGCAAAATTTAGACGTCTCTAGGTATATTCCAAAAAGAAAAACGAAAGCCCAAGCTTTGATTAAAACTGAGCCAGACATTCCTTAAAACGAACTTTTCCAGCCTCTCGATGACAACCTTAAAAAGAAGCTGACTAAAAACTAAATTACTAATTCAAAAAGTCTGATAAGCTTCTCTAATTTTCAGAACCAAATAATTCTATAACATTTATAGAGGGGCTAATGGCATGCCTAATTTAAGATACTTCAAAGGTAAATTCAGCTGAGGAGAAAATTCCTTAAGTTCTGTAATTAAAAATGAGAACATTAAAATGATGAGGGGTCCCGGTTTCTCCAAACCTTGTCCAACATGGATTTATAGGATTTCAAGAAACCCCATATCAAACATCGCCCTAACAGTTACTTTAGCATTTTATTATAACTACTTCAACTAGACAAATTAATTATATTCTAAATGCATCTACTAGAAATCTGATCCTGCTTATTGAACACGCATATAAACCTTTCAAAAACAACAGAGCTTGAATAAATAAAAAGGCTTTAAATTTAAGGTCGTCTTCTATAGTTTCTCTCAAACCAAGAACCCACATCCAATTAGTTATCATCCCGGAAAAAAGCAACAAAAGTAACACCAAAATTTTGAACATTGGATAACACAAAAGGCCTAGTTCATCCTCCTGATGAGTTCGTTGATATAGTCTTCACGGTTCCCTGCATCACCTCCCTCTACATAGTGATTCCTCTTCTTCTTCAAACCACCCAATGGTGCTTTCAGCTTGAAGGGCCATAAGAAATTGTTTGCCTCCTTGAAGTGGGGGCCAACAGTCATGATTTCATGAATCAGATCTTCAACACAGATGATTCCATACTTGCCCAAAGCCTGTTATCATAAAAGGTTTGGAGTTCAGTAAACAAACATGTTGTGAGAGCATTAGAATCATCATGCCAGAAATCATAATGAACCAACCGCTTCAATGATAGAATTGTCAGTCAAAGCAGTTCTCTGCTTGTTTAGTTTTCCATATCCCCTCTTGTAAATCAATTCCCTGACACTCTTCAGATTTGGATATCTGAAAACATTGACAATATCAATCAATATATTTGCTTAATGTATGAGTACCCAGCAATTCTGCCAATCAGATGCTGAATGAGAAAATTGCATACCCATATGTCACATAAGGCTCAACCCGGTGCAACATGTTCATGGTTGCCTTGTTGACTTTCAAAAAGACACCATTAAAAATCTGAAACCCAGCAAGGAACAAAAAGCCCACATTTATCAAGATCTTCACAAAATATTTCCACCATTCAAATCATAGTTACAAATGTGATATAGTCAAATAAAGCCATTCATGTCAAAGTGTCACAAACCACAATCAAAAAAATTAACAAAAATATTTTCACTAGAAGATAAAACATGCAATTACAAAATGAAAACAACATTCAGACATAAAGCACCAATGCTTGTACACTTATTCTTTGGGCATGTGATGTTTATCTTACATATAACAACCTTTCCATAAACACATCAATGCTATTAAATTAAACAATACATGTTTCAACACTAAGTCAACAATGAGAGCAACCAGGTATATAGATAAACTAGTAACATGATAACAATTTCAATGCAGAAGCAAAGTCCATGCATATTATTCCACACAAAATAAGGAATACCACGTCCTACAAAATTACCAGCCTAAGTCATGCCCATGCATGCAGTCAAAGATAAAAGAAAGTGAAATTACATTTGTATTACCTGCCTCAGACGCAGAAGCTGCAGGATTTTCCTTGTCTTCGGGTCAATTGCGTTGATCCTGGATATTTGCCATTTAAAGACCATCAAATTGTGATAAACACCAATTATGATGTAGTGACAGCATAAAATATATCCTACCCTCGGATTCGGATAATGAATAGCAGCTTAGCTTCTGGGTTGACATAAAAACCACCCTTCAATCTTGCCTCACGCTTCAATTGAATCAGCTGCTTTTCCTGTAAAAACAAAAACCCATTGCTTAGAACAGTTGACGAAAGCTCAAATTACACTAACTTCAAGGAAGAACAAATTAATTGAGCAGCACCTGCTCCTCATACTCCTTTGCATACTGTTTTGCTCTATTGAAGATCAGCTTCCTACTCTCAGCCCTCTTCTTCTTGGTGGCTTCAAGCTCCTGCTTCTTTGCAAGAGCCCATTCCTCATTTCGCTTTTGCTTCTTCAACACTGATTCTGGCACAACTGCACCTCCCTTCACTTCTTCTCCCATCTCTATCAAAAATCAGAGAAACATGACAACCCATAAGGATAAAAGGAAAGCAACATATACAAAGGAGAAAGGAATGTTGACAACATCCCGCTCAAATTCATAAATGTTAAACTCATTCCTGGAAAAATTGAAAGATAAATAAATAATAAATATACACCCACTTACTACAACTATTAATACTTTTTACAAAACATTCATATGAGAACCATATGTTACAAACACAGAATTACTGAAAATTTTGTTTCTGGAGAATAAAAAGAAATCAATGCTTAAAACGGCACATAAAAAATCACCCTTTCAACAGGCTCCCTTCATCATGGAATAAGCTCCACCTATGAGATCAAAGCTGCAAAAGCTGTGTTTTTCTGCATTTGATTTTTCTAGTCTATAGATATCTTTTGGGATTCGCTTCACCCAGCAAATAACTCACATTGAGTAGCCAATTTTTTAAGACTATTCAATATAGTAAAATTTTCCCATACACTTGAGCAAAAAACCAATTTGGAACGACTTAGTTAGCTTGTTCACACAAAAAACAAAGTCTTGGTTAGAAGCAACCGAAGATCAATAAAGATGCCAGTGTCTCTCCCACGCCAAGCTAGAAGACCAGAAAAGGATAAGTCTTTGGCAAGGGATCAAGAAAAAAACAGAAAGATTTTTCCTTCCAATAACTTAGTTCACGAACAACTGTGACTTTAACTAGGAAAAAAGCTCAATTGGTCGGTGCACATGTGTCAGTACGGAGGAAATCGACCCTATGTAAGATAAACAGAGTCCAATGAAGATTCAAAACTCTTAAATTGTATAGCGTCCTCTTCCAGCTTAAAGGAAGATATCATTCCAAATGACACCATAAATTTTCTTCTTGAAAAAAAAAAAAAGGCATAGCAATTCTCGCTCTAATTTCTCAGCTGCCTAAAATCCCAACGAAGATATACATACATAAAAGGAATCCACCCATCATCTCAGCTAGAAATCAAGTAGAGAAAGCATCGATTCGGGAAACGCAGCTAATAAATACGATGCTAATACAAATCTGCAGACATTTCTACGTGCGTGTGTAACTGCGTGCATTTACACCATTTCTAATCCATTGTGTACTTGCTTATTGCAGAGAAAATAGATAAGAGGATAGAGTGAGAGGACCTTTGTTGTGCTTCAACAATCCCAAATCCTGAGGTTGGTCGGCCGACGAGGAAGGTTTTGCAGCAGGCGGCTACCTTGGATATATAAGTAGATGAACGACACTAGGTTTTCTCGTAGGGTTTGTTCGATCAGGGACGGTAAGGAGTCATCCAACGGCCAATAATTCAGTTACTCGTTAAGGGGGATCTGAGCCGTCAATGGACGGCGTGAAAGTTAATGCCTACATTAACCTCGAGAGAAAGGATTAATTTTCCGTATTGCCACGGCTAATTGTTGTATCTTTGACAAGTAATTATCTACTCTCCCTTGAAATAATATGGATATTTTAAGCGAACTTGTCAGAAGTATTACTTTTAAAAAAGTATTAAAAAATAATAATTAATTTTTTTAAAAAATAGTAAAATTAAAAATATTCATAAATTTTATTAAAAGTAATAAAAATTAATAAATAAATATTTATAAAAATATTAATTATTTTTTAGTTAAAATATTTAAATTATCTATTCTTTTTAGAAATAATATATGTATTCATAAGTAAATTTTATTTAGTTGTAAATATAATTTTGATGTTATTAAAATAAAATTTTAAATTATTAATAACCAATAATTTATATAATATTTTTTATATAAGTTATTAATAATTTTTAAAATATAATTCTTAACCTTCTACTTTCTAATATAACTTTGTCTCCAATTTAAATATATAATTTTACTTCTTTTTAAAGTTTAATTTAATTTTTAATTTAATCAAAATAAATAATCTATACAATAATAAAAAAATAGATGTATATTTTTGTTAATTTAGATAAAGATAAAATAGGATTATAATAAAAATATTAAAATATATTTATCTAATAAAAAATTTAATTATTTGTAATTATAGGTACAAGAAACATGAGTTTAGATATTTTTACTTTTAACTATTTCTAATAAATATTTAGATAAATATAATACCAAAAATAATAACTCAAACAGGTAAAATTACTAAAAAAATAATTAAAAAATAAAAAATTGTTAAAAAAATAACTTACACAAACAGGCTCTCTCTCTCTCTCTCATTTTCTTCTTCTTTTTTTTTATTTTAAGAAGAAATTTCTTAACAACCACTTCTCTAAATTTTCTGAAAAGGTTATATATTTTCCATCTACTGTGTCATCCAATCTGGGCATAATGGCTCTTAACCCCAAAAAAAAGGACTCAAGAAAGTGCAAACATATTATTATTAATTGCTTTTCACCTAATACCTCGATACAACACCAAAAAAAAGAAAAAAAATTAATTTTGTTTTCTAAAAAAAATAATATTCTTTTATTTTAAAAAATCTGTAGAATAGGAGAAGGAAGATATTGAGGAATCTTTTTGGTTTTAATTACACACGCCATGATAAATATTACAAAATTCTGTTTGGGAGAGCAAGTTATGTTTTCTAATCTAATTAATATCAACTTTGATTTTACGGGAAACCATCTAAAAATTTTATTAAAATATTAATATTTATTTTCGTTAAAAATTAAACTAATTGTGTCAAAAGCATAAAATGAATTTTAATCGTATTATACTGGTATTTCTTTTATTCAATATAAGTTATATTTATATTGTGTCAGGACATTATTACAAAAATTCCCACCTTTCCAGAGAGAAGCAAAGCCAATACTTGGCACCTTGCTGGTTCACTGTCTTAGACAAACACCCAGTCAGCAAGGGGAGAGACTGCAAAATTACATGTAAGGAGAGAGCATTTGGTTGGAATAGTAAGGAATGGTAAGATAAATTTATCTTATTTTATCACATATTCAATATATATGTAATGAAATAGGATAAAAACCGTGATAACAATATGCATCAACATAAGTAGGATAGTGTTCAAAGAAATAAATATATAATAATTTTATCAGCCCTTATCTAACTTTCTATTTTTCTTCTTTTGACTAAAATGTCTCTACTGTTCACATAAGAAAGATCAAATATGACCAAATTTTGAGCAAGGATAATAAACAGTACTCACAACGTTATTTTATACAAAATATTTTTTTATCCTACAATCTCCTATTCTTTTGACTAAATGCTACCAAACATCATATAAATACTATGCAATTTAAATAAAATTACACTATAAAAAATTGGTTTTAGCTACAAATTTTAGCTAGAGACATTAAATTCGTAGCTAATATGCAATTTTAGCTACGAATTTAGTTAGAAATGATCATTTTGTAACAATTTTTTTGCTTGAAAATTTTATCACAATATATCTAGGAATTAGGTAGGGATTTTCCATAGCTAAATTTTAGTTAGAAAATATTACTAGCTAAATCAATAGTTAATATTCGGAGGAAATATGGAAAACTTTGTGCGAGAAATTTTTTTACTCTAACTAGGGTATAGCCGTAGCTAATCCCTAGCAAATATAGAAAATTTTATTTTAATTTTTTTAATTAATTTGTTGCAAAAATCTCCTGATATATGTATGGGTTGTTTCATTGATTTAAAAAATTGATTTAAAATTTTTTGGAGTATTTAATATAAAGGCTAGAAATTTCAAGAAAAAGGTCAAAAATATAATTTTATTATTCTATTTGGACTTTTTAAATATTTTTATTCAATGTTTATTTAAGTGACTATAAAAAGAGAAAAATGGTCAAAACACTTCTTATAATGTCCCAACCTAAAACCCTCATCATGTATTAAATACTTTATTTCGTGTAAGTATAATTAGTGGAGTAATTAGCAACTTAAATTTAGTTTTAAAAGCTCATAAATCTTTGAAGGTAAGTAGGGTATTTTGCAATCACTTGATGGAAATAAAAAAGAGAGAAAGAAAAAAATAATTAAAAAATAAATAAAATAATAATAATAATAAAAAGGAAGAAATAATTACGTGAAGTTTTATACTTCTCACTTTTCCTCCATCTTACACCTCCCTCTTCAAAAGCCTTTAGATCCTACGTGAAATAGCCGGGAAAAAGTAGAAAAAGGGAGGGAGAGAGAAGAGTAACATAAAGAGAAAAGAAAAGAAATAAAGGAGAAGAACGGGAGTTGGAAATCGAGACCAACGCAAGAAAATTTCAATTTAAATTCGGGTGGGTTCTTAAGAAAAAATTCTTTTGTATTTTCAATCTAGTCATCTTTTAATTTCTTTTAATTGGTTTAGATTTTTGTTTAAATACTGTTTTCATGATGAAAAATTAGGAAATAATATCTATCGATTTGTATTAATTTTTATTAATTTATACTAATTTTTTTTAAGAAGGTGACTAAGTTTGTTTAGTAAAACCAAGACAAATTTGACACTAAAATTTGCCTAAACCTAATCTAGAAGTTCGCCGACCCACTTACGGATTATTTTTTATAAAAAAATAACTATAACTCTTTTTTTGGATGTGAGTATACCTCAGTATACTTAGCTTGATAATGAGTATATATATTTATATTTTGAGATTTTTCGAAATATGTGTGTAGTAGAACTTTTGACCCAAGTAAAAAGGGTAGAAAACTACCTAATTATAAATACATCTCATGTATACACTAGTATATTTATGCATTTATGCACAGTTCTAGCTTGTTATTGATAACATATGTGGTTACACTCTAAGAGAGACACATCGGCGGTCAATGAGATCGATAGAATTGAGTCTGAAAATACACAATATCAGTAGAGATGAGTAATTTTCTCTTAAACCAAGAATTTTCCTAAAACAAGGAAACTAAAAATTTTCTTACAAATAATGTTTTATTTCAAAATTAAATATTTTATTTTTGAAATGCATTTCAATTTTTATGTTATGATTATTTTGCTATGTGAAATGGAAACAGAGATCTCATTTTTATGTTGTATGTTATGTATGTAAATGTTTGCA